GGGCTGCCCCACACCCCACCCACCCCACCCCCCGGGCCACGTCCCCCGCCCGAGCCTCTGGGCCCAGGCACCGAGCTGGGCCCGCTGGAGGGAGGGTCCGAGGCCCGTCCCGTCCCGTGATGTGTGTCCGTCCCCTGACGTGTGTGTGTCCCGTGACGTGTGTGTGTCCCCTGTGACGTGTGTCCGTGCTTTGCATTCACAGGCACGGAGCTCAAGGGCCAGGCTGTAATCTGCAAGCTGGCCCGCTGGGCGGGAGCGGCCCCTGCCCGGCCTGTGTGCCCATCTCTCAGGTGAGCGCCGTGCCCACTGCAGGTGCCCGGCGACAACGGTGAACATCTGAGGCGGGAGCGGGAGGGAAGTGCCCCTGAGAGGAAGGGTGGCTCTGCCGGCGCCTCCTCTCTGAAAGGATGGGCATCAGCCAAGGGGCCGGGGACCAGCAGGGCCCGAGGTCCCAGGACACAGGCCTGCCCTGCACGGGGAACTGCATGCTTTGGGGAAGGGCAAGTCCTGCCCGCAGGGCTGGCTGAGGACCAGCAGGGCCCAAGGTCTCAGGACGCAGGCCTGCCCTGCACGGGGAACTGCATGCTTTGGGGATTCGCGGACACCAGCGGGTGCTGGCGACCTGACACGGGGGGGCCGCCTGATTTGAAAGCAAAGGCCCCGGCCCGGCCGCGTGGCTCAGGGGTTGAGCGTCAACCTATGAACCAGGAAGTCACACTTCGATTCCTGGTCAGGGCACAGGCCCGGGTTGCGGGCTCCATCCCTAGTGGGGGGCGTGCAGGAGGCAGCCGATCCATGATTCTCCATCATCATGGATGTTTCTCTCTCTCCCTCTCCTTTCCCCTCTAAAATCAATAAAATATATTTAAACATAAAATATAATAAAAAATAAAAGCGAAGGCCCTGCGAGAGGGGATCGAGCCCTCATGAAGCAGAAGAGGCCGGAATCAAAGAACCGTCATCCACGGGATCCCACTTCGCCCTTTTGTAACCCAGTTCCAGCCTCGGGCAGATGGAGGGAGTGTGGGCTGCTCATGGGCCATTCCCATGGGGGCATTCCCGTGGGGGCACTTATGGGGGGGCATTCCTGGGGGGCAGCCCTGG